GGAATCGAACTCGTGCCCTGCCAAATTTGAAGCTCAGAGTTAGTGTTCATTAGCCAACTGAGCCAAGGCCGTACTTGACTTTTTATGTTCGCACATTTTTTTAGATTTGTTTTCGTTGGTTATCCAGATATGTTTTTTCATATATATTTTTTTATGATGTTGTTTAAAATCATTATAAATATTGATAATAATTATTTTTATTTTTAATAGCACTAAATAATAATAGAATAAAAATATATATCGTGATAAGAAGATAATCAGAATTTGACAGAATAAATAAGATGGGGGGACATGTTTTCATAAAATGACATGACGGCGCATTGGTGAAATCCATTTCTAAATTTTTAAATACCCGTATTAGTAGAGAGGCCATGTTAACATAATTCGGTATAAACTGTTCTAGGTATTCGGTTTGTTTCAGTATGAAATATACAAGTCTTTGGTTAATACACTAGAGTGTATCTGGTTTTGTTTTTTAAAACTTGTCCTTATGCTTTTTATGCTTTGACTTATGTTTCCTTTTTTAAATTACTAATATTGCAAACTATTTCCAATTTCATTTACTTAATATTTTATGTATTACAATCCGCTTTGAATAAATATGAATTATTCTATGTATTTGTTTGGGTAATTAAAAAAAAATATTCAAATTATTCAATTGCTGAGCTGTAAACACAAAAACGTTACACTTAATTTAACATTTAAGTGACGTTGCTTTCATTGGGAGTTTTCTTTTTCAATGAAAAATAACTTAAGAAAGCAATTCTTATAAAAACAGAGACGTTACATTCACTTACACAAACACTGACATAAATAAGTACAGCACAACACAATAACAACAGATCAAATAACAGCCATTGTTCCATGCGTCATCAACTGTTATAATTGTTATTGCATCTTTTGAGTTCTGCTTTCTTACTATTTTTACCTTGTTTAATGGTGAGTTTTCCAAGAAAAACATGAGAATTATTGGATTGGTGTCACAAAAAACACTCTCCATGTTCAAATGCACTAAACTTGACATTTAAGTGTACTTCTCATTAGTAGTTTTATTTTTGTTATAATATATACATGTATGCATATGTTTTAGTACAGTTATTTTATTCATATATATATTTTTTTGTGTTTATTAAAGATTTAGTACTTCTAATAAATACAACAAATAAACAGACTGAGACGAGGATCTGTTTTCCATACCAGGAAGGTATTGTCGTATGAGTCCCCACTCTCAATTGTTGTTAATGCAGTCTGATATTTTTGGTTCCATCAATAGAAAAGAATAATGATTCTATGACTAATTGCACATTAAACATTTTAAATATCAGATATAGTTCATATAATTAAATAAAGTTTATGTTTAATATGTTATGTTTAATAATTGGCTCTACAAATTATCTGAACATTTCTAAATCTCCTATAAACTCTATGTGTACCACATATTCTTAGTTTAAAATATCTAAAAGGAGACAACTTCACATCTATATTGAATTCTTCACATACTATGACTATATTGAAAGGATTCTCGATCTATACACAAATGAGGTAAAAGTTGGTAGAGGAATATTTTCCAAAGAACCCAAACTAATCTTCCAATAAATAAATAATTGTGAATTTCCTGGCTGTCATTGACTGCATACTATTCTTTCAATAAATGAATAATTGTAAAATATTCTGAGTACAATAGATGACATCCACTATAAGCTCTTTTTTCAATAATTGGATCATTGTAAAATTTTCTTAGTAAAAGTGACTGTCATTCACTACAATATATTTATCCTTTAAATGGTTAATTATAAAGTATTCTTAGTAAAAGTAGATGTTATCCACTATAAACTTATACATTTCTTCAACAACCAGATCATTGTAAACCTTTTCTTGTGAAAGTAGTTACCTCTCAACACAAACTATTCTACCAATAAATAGATCATTGTAAAGTATTACTTCCAAAAATGGTTGTCGACCACCACAAACTATTATTCCAACAAACGGATCATTATAAAGGTTTCCAAATACAAGTGGCTCCATATGTTATAAACTATTCTTTTAAAAAATAGATCAAAAGCTGGCATTCAGTAGAAAATAATTATTTAATATTATTCAGCATTTATTGCAATATTATTAGCAAAAATATTTCTATTTTTAATTGTAGTCAAACAACCACGAGATGTTGGTGCGTTTATTGTCATAGAGATATTATTATCAACTATAAGTTCAATAAATTGAACATAAGTGGCACATGATTTTCATAACATCAATTTCAATATATGTTTATTATCCATTAGTTTGAGTTATATTTTTTAGCCTACATTTTTTAATAAGCCTACATGCGAACCGGCTAGGATCACTTTTCGTTAATTACTATAGCAGTTGTGAAACAGAGGGAGCAAACCAAATTCTACTCATTCTTATTGGTAACGTCTAACACTTTTCAAATGGTGTATATTTATTTTTGAATTTTTCTCTTTAAGTGTCTGTTCAATATCACCGGTATAGTCAATAAAAACATTTCCTCAAAATATTTTCACGAAGAGAAAAAAATCAGTCCAAGATATAAATATTATTAACTAAAGGATCAAATACATGAATTTCGTTATCTAAATGTTTCTTAAAACAGTGAATTTGCACAATGAACCAAAAACGGAAATATTAGTCCAAAACACGTAAACACGTACCTTTGAGTAGCTAACTTATATGAAGCACAAAAAGAGCAAATTAAGGTGTTAAACAGAATATATGTTCAATAGAACAGCAAACTTGCTTTAAAGCTGTCGTATTATAAGAGGCTAATTTTTAAACCATAATTGAGCCGTATCATCTTTTACGATAAGGAGTACCATTATCGACTCTCTAATATATATAATCCCAATAAGTTTGTTGTATGTGGTACGATAGATCACAAAAAAAATAAAGCAAATATTTTGAAACCAATATGAGGACTAAGATGATAATTCAGAATTATAGTATCCTATAAATATATGGTTTTCAAGAAACGTTTTTGCAAAAAGAAAAAGGATATATCTTAGTAAATAACACTATTTTCTATATAGCACTTTATAACACTGCGCTAGTTCTATCACTAGAACATCAGAAGAGTTCCATTAAAAATACTTTTACGCATGGCTTTAGCTAGTTTCCCATATTGTCCTTTACAACTGTCGTCATTTATCAATTTTGTAGTAGTTAATGAATAGAATTAATTTAACAAATTATAATTTACTTGCACAAACTTTGTTAGAAAATTCAATTTAATTTCTGCTTTACGGAATTTCTAATAAATTTTTGATTTTTTAATTTTTGGTACATTTACGAGAGCTGCTTGCTCACTTTTCAACTAACTGGCAAGTTGCAGTGACGCAAAATACGTTAACGTACTGTACAGTGTATAGTATAGGTATAGTGTACAGTGTACACTTCTGTTGAGGGAATTACGCACACATTCAAAGGTTATGTCCACAAGAAAATGTTGTCATCAGTGCTAATATTGCCAACTTTATAGTTGTGCTAATTGTTGTTGTTTTTTCGTAAAGCAAATAGCTTTCGTTGTTTTTGGTGTTTTTGTTATTATTGTTTTGTTTTTGTCTTTACTCGTGTTACTATTTTTCTTAGTCGCGTAAGCCAACTTCTGTTTCTTCTTACTGCTGTCAGTTTGCCTAGAAGTGCAAAAGAGGTTTATATTTGAATGTGTGTGCATGCTTGCGTATGTGTTCGCTTGTGTGTATGTTTGCTATAGTGTATGCCTCTGTATGCTTGAGTGTTTCAGAGTTGAGTGTTTGAGTGTATGTGGCAGTGTCATTTTTTGATGTTTGTCGTTGAGCTTTTTTCTGTTGTATTTTTAGTTTGTTAATTTTATGTCCTTCGCGTTGGCAAAAAATGTTTGCTACTTTGCTGCTGCTGCTGCTGTTATTGTTGCTGTTGTTGTCTTTCTTGTTGCTGTTGTTGGTATTGTTACTGTGTGCGCTCATAAAAAATGATGTCATGCTATTGCTGTGCTGCTGCTGTCTTATATTTTACATATTTACGAAAATTATTTGTTTTTTTTTTTGGTTGACTTTTGCAAAAACATGAAATAAAATTTAAATTATATTACGGAAGAAAAAAAAAAAAATAAATTAAAAAATAAATTTGAAAAAAAATAAGAAATTTGTAGTATAAAATTATATTTAAGCGTATTTGTTTGTGTGATAACAAACTTATTTAATATTTAAGCATTAACAAGTCGTTGAGGATAGATAAGTGCAAAACACACGCACACCCGCACCCGCACCCACACACACACACTCATACTGACATACATACACACAGTGAGACAATTACAAACAAACTAAATAATTATTACGCTTGTTAAGCAGCTTTTATATTAAAATGTAAATAAATGACAAAACAAAGAGACAAAACAACAAAATAAACAAAAGACAAAAACGAAAAAAAAAACGAAAAACACAGAAAAAAAGAAATAACTAACTAATTTGTGCTAAAAACAAAAATCGTGTATTTATGCTGCGCTTTTTATTTTAAGTGAATTTCTACAGCTACAACAACAGCAACAACAACAATAATAACAACAATAACGGTAATACCAACAACAGTAATACCAATGTAAACAGCATCATCAGTAGGGACTGTAATAGAAGAGTAGTAATATCAACAACACAGTAAGTACAACAACAGCAAACAAGAACAACAACAACAATAACAAGAACAACAGCACTTATAATAACTGAAATAACTGAAATAACTGAAATAACAGTAATAACAACATTAACGAGAAATAACAAACAAACAGACAAACAAAAATTTTAAAACATTTATCTCATCTTGCCGGTTGGATTTAATTACCCATAAAGGATTACGTACTCATTAAAAAGGATATCATAACATTGCAATACGTTCGAGAGAGAGCATTTTAAGTCCATTAAACTAAGTTAATTCAAAACAAAGAAAAACAAAAACACCACAAAACCAGAAAGCACATAAAAATATTTGTAAAGAAACAATAAAAAACAACAATAACAATAACAACAATAATAACATAAGCAAAAAGTAAAAAGTAAACAACAACAAACTTGCCAAGTAAGAAGCACCTTAGAATAAAACAAGCCGCAATTGTGGCACTGGCGACAGTTGCAACTTTAACGGTTGCAGCAATCAGAATCGAATCGTAGTTGGTTGGAACTACGAAGTTGGCATAGCGGTTTTATATCGTAAGCGTCTAATTCCACACCATCTTCCATATTCGCACTATCAGCAACAACATCAACATCAACATCAGCGTCAACATCATTGCCAGGCAGGACTACACAATGGATTTATGGTTTTTATTATGTTTGCTGCTCTTAAACAAAACTGGTACGCAACTTAACTTGTTCATTTCTTTATACTTTTTAATATTTTTTTTACTGTTTGTTTTTGTTGTTTTTTTTTTGTTCACATATATATACATATATATCTATCTATATTTTGCCATATCAAAACATATATTCATCCAAGCCGATAATGTGCTTAATGCATACCAAGTTATAAACACAACCAGGAGAGTCTTTTCATATATATATCCTGCTCTATTTTTTCAGTCATATCTATTATAAGCAGAGTTAAAAGATTAAATTTTTATATTGTAACATTTCAGTTTCATTTTTATTTTTTCGCTTTCATTTCCCCATTTACCATTTACCATTCACCATTCTCTCTGTTTTTTTTTTTATTATTTTTTTTTATATTATCCATTTTGCTTTTATTTTCTTTTGTTTATTTTGTGTAACTGTAAAGATTTTCTAAGCCAGGATTTGTTTTTGCTTTTGTTACTCGAAACAATAACATACGAAAGTTATACGTTCCCATTCCCGTTCCCATTCCCGTTCCAGTAATCGTAACCGTTCCCGTACTCCTATCTAGTATCTAGTATCTATTATGTAATTCAGTATTATTATAATGTTACGATTAAATGTTTTGGAAATGCGAACGCTATTTACTTAGGACATTCATACTTCATTAAAAGTTTCTTCACATATCCTTTACTTGACTGTTGTTGCTATTGCTGTTGCTGTTGCTGTGTTTGTGTTTGAGTTTGTGTAACTGTATCAGCATGAGTGTATGTGTGTATGTGTGAGTGCTTGACAGCAGCAGCAAATGAGCATTAAAATTGTGCGGAATAGAACAAGCCGGAAACCGGAAATGTTTTAATCATTTAATTCAACCATATTTATAAGCTTTCCATATTTCTCTTATTGTTTTGCTTTTAGCCTTTAACACGCTATGTGCACTTAATGTTACAAGGATTTCAACAAAAAGTGCCTCAAGCACGAAATAATTATTTCGTTACTTAAATTTGCAAACACAAAGGATCAGGATCGCCTTTATATGAAACTTAACTCTAATTTTACACATTGTTAAATGAGTAATCGTGTAAGAATAGGTTACACTGGCTCATAGTGTAGAGCCATGAGTAGAGTAGGGGTGGATGGCTTACTTAGTAAAAAAGTTAATTCTTGATAATACCAAATTAGAGTGAAAAATGCATTACCAAGCGCAATTTTATATAAAGATACTAAAAAAATTATAAGTTCAAAATTTAGTTTTTTCCTGAGGACTGCAGAATATAGAACAAGAAATAGAAGACTAAACAAAAATTATGTCAAATTATGTCAAATTTAAATGAAATATAGGCGCTATTCAAAGATTTTTCAATCAATAGAAAATTAAAACTAATAAAGTCTGTTCTGGCTGTTTCTAAAATTAAGGGTCTGTGGCGAATATATAAACCAGTGCAATGCCATCTGGCGTAATGTACGTATCAAAGTACAAACAGCATCTAACTTAATGGTCCAGCGTTCATTAGTATTTAGCGCGTCTTCTCCGAAGCAATAAGTATTTACAATAAATATTTACAAAAAGTGTTTTAATACATTTGAAAGTGTTTTAATAAATAATGTAGTGGTGACACAGAAGTACCACAGGTGTTTTGAATTATATCCAACTCACAATTAAACTACACACTTTCACTATAGGAACTGAATACCCTTAGTAGCATTTTTAGTTACTGAAGCTAGCTGCTTACTTAACTATTTACTTACTTAAAAGCTCATAACAACTTGTTACTGGGTTGCGACATGACGCAGCGTTTCTCCCTAGGCGCCGCTATTGTCTGCGCACCTTCTCTAATCACCTATATTAAGAGCAGTTAGTGCTTCACTCAGCTCACTTTCGTAAATTCTTTCTCGATAGCAATAAAAGTAGGTATAAAGTCATGCTTGACATGATTCGATAATATCGGCGTTAGTCAGGAGCTGGACATATGATGAAATGAAAAAGATCACATGATAGATGATGAGCTTGTTTGAAGCCTCGTATAGCATTTAAATATTCGCAAATACTCAATCCTACTTTGACGAAAATATGGATACTGATCAACGTCATACTGCGGAGACGTATTAACTGTGCAAAGATACCGAGCTCAGATATGTCGGCATAAACGAAATCTCTTGTTGCTTGCTTTCTTTGTACTATTACAAAGCCACACAACTACACTTCTAGACAACTTAAAATCTTGTATCAATATTTGTGGGAGAAAACATGAATATTTCTTTATAATAATACTATATAGCGGTATTGTGAAATCAGTAGCTTTATAACAAAATCACTGTTAGAAACTTGTCGGTAGTCTCCACTAAAAAGATATATCGGGTAACTTCCTGAATAAAACGTTGGTTTGTCTTTACAATTACAATGAGGCGTCCCTTCTCAATATAACATTTAGTGTACCTTATACGTGAATGGTGGACACTTAAACTGCTCTAAACAGTTATGGGTCAGAATTGAATCGAAATATCAAGCGATATTTAATTTGTTTTTGTTGTTCGATAATATACCATTGTATAAATCCATCATGATATCAGAATTCTTGACCAAAAAAAATATTGTTTTTGCCGATCACCCACTGTGTTTATACGTGATTTCGTTATTAGTGACTATAGTCCATACGCCAAATGAAATAAAAAAATATACATGAAAGTTAATATTCTCCAAATTTTAATATAATACCAGATTAAATGTATATTGATGACAAACGAAGAGATCTGCCCTGGAACTTCCATAAACATCTTGAAGACCTTGCTTATGCTCATGAAGTCTATCTGCTTTCAGTTAAGCACTCTGATATGCAGTTAAAAATAAATGATCTATGCTCGGCTGCCGATAAAATTGGACTGAAGATACATACAAATGCAATAAGATAAATAAAACCAAAGCGATTAAAATAAACACCACAGGTAACACAGACTATATAATAGGAAACGACATGATTGAAACGCTGGATTCTTTTTCTAAAAAGGATATACTTGCCTACATAGACAAAGCAAGGGGCGCATACGCTCAGTTAAGAAAGGTTTGACATACTAAACTTTTATTTTTCAATCCGCACGTCATCCCAGTGCTATTATATGGTTGTGAAACATGGGTTACAAAAGAAACAATTATACAGAAAATACAAAGCAGATGCCTGAGACGAAATATACGAGTTTGGTAGTCAAATGTTATAACCAATAAAAAACTTTACCCGAAAAGCAACATCAAACCAATGCCAAACTTTATAAAAAGACGCTAATAACGCTGGATTGCCCATACGATTCAACTGAAGTATGTCTTCAAGCACTGGATTGTAATCTACAAAGTAGAAAAAAAAGAAAACGTCCAAAAACATTCTGAAGACGAACGCTACATATCAAGCGGCTTAATGCTCCTCAAGAAGATGAAGGAACTAACAACACAACCAGTTAAAATTAATTTAAGAAAATCATTTTACGGTAGTATTCCAGAATATATAGTCTATAAACCACTTTTTTCTGGAAATTACTCTGAATCTGTAGATGATATTTAACTTCATCGTACATATTCAACTTAATTGAATATTCTAAATAAAAAGTGTTTATCGTTCCTTACATTTATCTTATTTAGTATTCGCTTGCTAATAAGAAAAAGGAAATATTAGATATGGTATTACCATTCACAGCTGAAATGATTTGCATAAATAAGAAAAGTACAAAGCAAAAGCTTAGCTTAAGCTGTAGTACTACAGATTGGTAATAATATTTAATTACACTAAGATGTAAGAAGATAAATGATATATATAATATGTATATGTTTATATATTGTATTGGTACTATGATATCACACTATTATAGTTTAGGGTAAACGTACTCCATTGGATTATGCGCCACTTTTTCACCGCATATTGACGTGCTTGCTTACTTGCTTACTTTGCATCAATTATTCCCATAATCGATTGTGTATATTATGAGATTAAACTAATTCCCACTTTTTGAGTGCAGTTGTTACATCCCGCATTGTATCTGTGTAAAGAATTTGAATTATATATAAGATTGCAGTATTTACGCATATGTGATTTCAATGCAAACTGCACAATACTTTTCACAATGGCATCGAATGCAACTTGCTTGTTCCCCCCCTGCATTTCGTATTTCGTATCTCATGCCTTATGCCTCATGCCTCGTACCTTATAGCGCAGCCTGGATCTTATTGTTCTTTACTATGTTTTTCCTTAATCAACAACAACAAAACAAATGCAATATGAATAAACCTTCATTCCTAAACTTGAACACAAGTTGTTATTAAATATTTAAGATCGTTTCAGCGGGCCACTTGTAAAAGAGTTGCAGAGTTGTATTCCTCCCCGGTTCCTTACTTCTACTACTTCCACTACTTCTACTACTGCTCTACTATTCTAGTATTCTAGTGTTATATTGTTCTTATGTTCTTCTGTTCGTTCATTTGTTTGTTTGTTTGTTTGTTTGTATGCGTGTGTGTGAGTGTGTGTGTATGTGTATACTTTTCGGTGTTATGCTATTTGTGCTTGTTTTACAAATTTGTGCAGTGCATTGCTTGTTATTGCTTTCAGTGCATATGGCGTCGGCGTCGGTGGTGGCTTTGTGGCTGCTGGTGTGGTAAGTTTTTATTTTCTGTGCTATTGACATTGCATATATGGGTACGACAAACGACAAAAGACAGACAAGAAACGACAAACGAAGTAATGATATTTATTAAATTATGAATTAAATATGTGTTGTTATAATAAAAATTAAAAAAAAAAAAGAAGTAGAAAAAAAAACAAAATAAAGTGCTAAACCATAATGTATGTTCGAAGCTCTTCGAAAGATAGAGGAATCCTTTGTTGAACACATAAAGTTTTTAATATTGTTAGCGTAAAACTTTATTATTTTTGGTAAATAATTTTCAACTGCTTCCTTTCGAGTTCTCAAAGACTAAATGCTTTTAAAGAAGTCTGAGCCAATATTGAACAATCGCAATTTTTGCATTTTTTCATTCGTTGTTTT